ACCACATATCCTGACTATCTCAGTCTATTGGTTTTTGGACTAATTGATGTACTTACTGTTTTTACTTAGTACCCTAAACCTAATTGTCCCATTATTCACTTGACGGATTACACTGTTTCGAATGCATGGGTAAGTACACACGGTTTACACTTATCTCGCATGCTTTTAGGACATTTTTCAACCACAGAATAAAATGGAACAAAATGACACTAACTATACTCGCCACAGGTTGAAATAAAATGATATTTACTATCTCAGTCAGTCAGTTGCAACGTAGAACTTCGTACGTAAGTACATCAGTTCATGTCGCCACACCACATTAGCACAGAGATATAATTGTCAATTCAAATCCAATAGTAGAAGAGGTAGTAAAGGTATTAGAAGTAATCGGAGAGGTTAGAATTAGAAGATATTATTCACGAAGTATGATTCAGTGAGATAAGTTTAGAAAGTCAAAACTAGAGGTGTTGAAGAATCCCGAAGATCAGGATTTGAGAGAACACAAAGAATAAATGCATTGGCGCCATTGCGAAAGATTTTGAGCCATGTCATTCAAGGTCTCTAACCACCGATTATTATCATCTCGCGGACCCCAACCAGGTAGTCGACAATCACCGACATGACTCAGTCCATTCGTCAATGACTTCATGCATTTATGCCATGTTTTGGTTTCGCCGCCCCTAGCTTTCTTCCAACCTATTCCTACACTACAAAACAAAGCTCGACGAGGCAGTCGCTGGTTAGGCATACGCAACCCGTGTCCGAACCACCTCAACTGATGAAGTTTCACCACTTCATCCATTGATCTGCCATTCTTACCTAGTACCCGTTTCCTAATAACAGCGTTGCTCACTCGGGTGTCCCAGGATATACGACCAATGCTTCGAAGACACCTATGATCGAAAACCGATAGACGACGAGTATCTTCTACTCTCATTGGCCATGTTTCACAGCCATAAAGTAAGACGGAGCGAACCACTGCGCAGTACACTCGTCCTTTAGTCAGCAAACGGATATCTCGCCTACACCATAAGTGACGCAGGTTGGCAAAAGCTAATCGAGCCTTCTGTATCCGTGCCGAGATTTCGTCAGTCATCAGGCCATCGGCACTGATGAGACTTCCAAGATAAGTGAAGCGGTCTACACGCTCGACTACTTCACTCCCTATCACTAGTTCAGGTGCCGATGAAACCCAATCTTCAAGCAACATTTTGCATTTCGAGGGGGAAAACCGCATCCCGAACATGCTTGCATTGTTGCTTAGAGTAGTCAGAAGACTCTGCATTTTGTCAGCGTCTTCACCTAGTAGGACTATGTCATCGGCATATTCTAAGTCAATAAGCGAGCCACCTGGTAAAAGGTCTACTCCAGAAAATTCAGACGAGGATAAGGTTATTTCTAGGAGCATGTCTATGATAAAATTAAACAAGAATGGAAAACGTGGACATCCATGACGGACACCACTTGAAGTAAAGAATTCCGGTGACAGTTCACCATAAGCTCTCACTCGACCAGTGGTGTTTGAGTAGAGAGCTTGTATGAGGTTAATGTACTTATTTGGTACACCTTTCAATGACAGACACTGCCACAGAACCTCACGATCCACTGAGTCAAATGCCGCCTTAAGGTCCAGGAAAACAACTATTGTGGGACGCCTAAATGTGTGTCTGTGTTCCAGGACCTGTCGTAGTGTGAAAATGTGGTCTATACAGCCACGTCCAGGTCGAAAACCAGATTGGTTTTCTCGAGTTTGCTCTTCACGAGCTTTCGTTAGGCGCCGAAGTATTATTGAGGCCAATATTTTAGATACTATATTAGTTAGACTGATTCCTCTGTGATTGTCACAAGAAGACTTCTGTCCTTTCTTATAGATTGGGACAATCAGTGATTGAGACCAGTCGGATGGGATTACGTCCAGTTCCCAGATTCTACACAAGATCTCAGTCAATCTAGCTGCTAAAACTGGACCACCATCCTTAAATATCTCAGGGGTCAGTCTATCACGACCTGCAGCTCGTCCTCGCTTCAGATTTCCTAACGCTTTCTCAACTTCATAAGACTAAGGGGACTTACGTCGATTTGCCATTCAGGATGACTGGAGATCGTGGGTAACTGAAGAGTGGCTCGAGGCCAGTTGAACTGATCCTTAAAGTGTTCTGCCCATCGATCCAGTCTCCTGGATTGAGAATAAATAATAGTCCCATCATTTTCTGAGATAGTCTCACTTACACTAGGATTCCTAATACCAGTTTCCTTGATAAGTCGGAAAAGTTGTCTACTGTTGCCGATCGCCGCTGCCTTTTCCATCGCTTTTGCTTTCGCCACCCACCACTGTTCGCGATCGTTACGTAGGCTTTTTATAAGTCTGCGCCTAAGTTGACTTCGTTCTTCATCATGTTCAGAGCCAGGTGGGATGAGTTTTCGAGCATCCATCAGTTCGGTAAATGCTACGGAGATCCACGGCTTCATTCTAGCCTTATGGTCAACCTTACTAGCAGATATCACTGCTGTTTCCACAGCCTTCTTGATATCATTCCATCCTGCTTCCGGATGGGAATCGCTTACATGGTCGCCTAACTGTCTTTCTAGTTGTTCCTGAAATATATTTTTCGCCTTATTATCATTAAGTAAAACCCTAAGAGGCTATCTTACGGTGTCTTTCCTACGCCCAGTAAGCTTCAAACAAATACGCGCTCGCACTAGGGCACGATCTGAATCTAAACATGTGCCCCAGAACGAGCGACAGTCCTCTATCGAACCCCTCCATCGGTGGCTGATGGCGATGTGATCTAGTTGAGTCCAACGTTGAGACGACTTCGGGGGTCGCCAGGTCAACAGATGCTTTTCCTTATGCCTAAAGTCAGTGTTTGCTAAGAATAGGCGGTTGTCTGAGCATGCTTGCAACAGACGGTCACCATTGTCTGTTCTCTGAGCCGCGACACCATAACATCCACCTAGGTGTCTCTCCTGCTCACTTAGTCTACCTACTTGAGCATTAAAGTCACCAGCCATTATTACTATATCAGAGCGCCTAGCTTTTTGGAGGAGGTCCGAGAGCTTTCTGTAAAACTAATCCTTAACCTCGTCTGAACTGCATTCAGTGGGGGCATAGGCAGATATGACGAAGAGGCAACGGCGAGTGTCCCTATCTTTCCGAGTCCTTACTGTCCCGTTTAGTCGGACAGCGCACAATCGACTATCTATTGGGATCCAGTCAAGGAGAGATTGTTCTGCCCTACGACTCAATGCTATGCCTAAGCCAGCAAGACCCCGGGAAGCAGCATCAGGGCTACCGGATACACGAAGAGTAAATCGAGCTGCTTTATTTTGACATGGTGTGGCCAAGTGTATGACGTGACTCGGATCCTGTATGCGCGTTTCCGAGACGCAGCATACATCGATGGTACGAGATTCTAAGGTCCTAGCTAAGGAAGCCTGTTGCCCTATTTGACACAATGTCCGTACATTAAATGCTCCAACATGTAGTCTAGAGCGAGGTTTAAGGAGACCAGGAACGACGTTTCGCGAACTCGTATCGTCTGCATTAGCTGTGCACTGTGATGAATGTGAGAAGAGTTAGTCGTGGAGATAAGAGAGGTACTAGGGGGTGTAGGAAGGATTTGATTTTGACCGATTCGGTCTCGCGTGCTGTTACGGGTATGAGGGCGGTTGTCACTTCCCGGATGCCCACACCGTGGAAGGTTGTTTCTTGAGGAACCTGAAAAGGAAGATAGATTAGTGTTGGTGCGTGACCGCAGAGTCCAAGGGACAACTGCTTGAGGCCGGTCACGCACGGCCTTTTTATGAAAGGTATTTAGAGGATTAGCTCCGTTCTTAAAGGCACTTAGTGGGCACCCTTACCCAAGGAGACGGAAATCCGTGAGTTAGGGGAGGTGTGACATTTTTAGGGCCGACCTTTTCTAACCCTTCCTTCCTTGTGAGAAGGCAGCATCGCTGCAGATGCTGGTTGTCCGAAGGAAACACCTTACTGCTGTCACACCCCTCTGCAGTCAGCAGTACGACTTCGCCCTCAGACCTTGGGTAGCTGCTTTTAGTCTGATCGTTCTCCAATCGACCTGTCTGGCATGGTAGAACCTTGAGGAACATATGTTCCAGCCAGTATAGCTCGGTTGGGTCATCACGATAGGCAAGCCCGACCACCACGTCAAGGTAGCAGCTACGGTCGGGATATTTACTATCTATCTATATTTACTATCTACCCAGGAATTACATCGTTAGTAAATTCACCAGCACTGATGGAACGCCAAAGATACACGGTCAATGCGCTAGACTATTCAGTTTCTTTTGATAAAAAGTAGGCAATGATGCATTAAAATTTTGGATGAACACTAATTTTAGAGGGACCTCTGAAACATTGATTTTAATGAATAATGCCCATCAAAAGTAACTAGATGTAAGAAGTACATGGATTTCTGTTATTTAATCAGTCTTTCTATAAAGCTACACCTTATCCATACGTATAATTTTAGTGTTATTACGAAGACATCTACTTCTTAATTTGCCTGAGGTTATAAATGTATCATTAAGTATTTAAAACTGAATGGGATTTTATAAGAAAAAAAAGAATGATCATTTCGGTACAATTTTTACAATACAAGATGATAAAAATGGTTTTATTCAGTATGATATATTTAGTACAATATGGAATTTCTATCAGGAAATATTTTATCAAGTTTCCTTTACAAAACAATTAATGATCGGCAGTTGGAAGTAAACAGTTTCAGAATCGATATATCACTAACGTTCATTCTTTTCTCAGAAGATTGTCACACACAAAGATGTCTCGGAATGTAATTTCTCGAAACTTGTGAAGTGATAGCCCGTAAACTTTATATACTCGTCTGAATAGACTACGTGATTAACGGACAAACAAAAAGAGGTTACTTGTTGAAATATATTGATGTCACGAAACAGGTTACCTAGATTACCAGGCATGCAGATATGCTTAATGCTTTCCGATGAATTCAAAAACGAACGAGTTAGCAAATAAACAATCTTTATTGAATTAAAGTTAAACAATCTTAAATTAAAAATCAAAGTTGATTTTATTTTTAGTATACATACACGATATTATAATGACTGTACATTGATTTTAAAAATTCGTAATATTCCATCATCACCAGATGTCGCCAAGTACTTAATTGGTGTTTTGAGGTCATTATCTTTCTTTGGTGAGAACGAAATACGCCTTAATCGTTTACCTGGAACATGACACCAAGCTGGTGGGAAGTTTAAAACAACGGACCATGTAAACACACGTTCGGATGAGCCTGTTTCGTATAATTTTAACAAAACTATGTTTCCAGATTCTAAACCAACAGCCAATAAATAAGAGTGGAGATTAGACGAGCCTTCTGAGTCGAAAGTGTTGCAAATATCAATAGCTGTTACAGACTGTCCTAATTCTTTGTATGTATCTAGGCGATGAAGCGCTTGAGGGGACAGGTGGTCTGTTGATTTTTGCATTTTAACAGTACCATTCCAACAGTAAATGGATGAATCTCTGGATCCTGTAAAAAAGTATCTTGAAAACAAATTTAAGGTGTAAAAGTAATAGTATGCAAAGTGAGTGTGTTTAATAAAGTACTTTTGTATAATACCGATTAACTGTTCAAACAACAATGGGAAAGCACTGAGAATATTTGCTTATCATACAAAATGAATTCGTTTCGTTACGAAATTCTGTTTATGCCAGACAAACGATCTGGAAAAAAACAGTTTCAACGTATGTACTTGGGAAGTTAATAAAACCAGTTGATATGACAATACAACTGGGATTCGATAATAGGCAGCCCATATAGATAGACACAATACTGTAAAAACATGCACTAATGTTTTTTTAAAGTCAAGTTGCTATACTTTATGACAGTACTACTATACTCAATAATCTCAATTATTACGGATTTACAATCTCAGCGACTGAAATGCACAGCTTGCTCGGAGCTATATAATTGAACATTGAATCCTTCACCGAGTTGTTTTGTTGAAGGCAAGTAACATATTAAATAGTGACCTATAATTGGATACATACAATCTACACAGACTTCCCTCGCTAGACAGTCGTTCCTGACGGTTAGAGGGCTACTAAGTAGTGTATCTGTTCTTCTAAAAGTAGTGCGTGCATAATCAAAAACAGTGACAGAGTCGGTTGACAGATAGTGACTGAGCACTTTAAAGCAATTTCGAGATCTCGTGTGGATCTAACTAATCGTCCATTTTACGTGTTTCATACTTCTTAGCATAGGTATCAATGTGGAGAAATCATGCCATTATGTTTTGTACTGAGGTGTGAAACCGTACACCATGGATAAGAGATGTTTTTTATTACGTTAAAAATACCAGACTAGAAGTAATTCTCAACTATAGTTATGGAGGTCAGTGTTTTTACACATTTGAAATCATCAATCAATCATCGTTAGACCACCATTAGAAACCTGGAAGCATTGATGATTTCAAATGTGTAAAAACACTAGTCTCAATAACTCTAATTGAAAATAACGTAAAATGTGCTCACTAGTGACCAGTTTCGTGAGGAAGTTCTCCGAGTTTTAGTGAAAAGACATGACCAGTGGGGTTCAGCCCTGTCGGGTGTAGGCAGTAACTACCGAACACAAATGGGTGAGGTCGCTCAAAATCCCTAGATCAATCAGAGTTAGACATTAACACTGTTGGATGCCGGCCAGTGGTCCAATGGTTGGGCGTTCGCGCACAATACCGAAGGTCCGGGGTTCGAATCGTGCGAGGCGGAGGAGTCGTGGATGCGCACTGCTGATGATTCCCATACCAGGACGGGACGGCCTTCGATTGCTTCCAGGTTTCTAATGCTGGTCTAACAATGAATGATTGATGATTTCAAATGTGTAGAAGTAGAGTTATTATCACACCTGATAGTCTAATCAGATCAATAAACTGCATACATATGTAAATCTTAAATACCAAAAGTATTTAAGCAAGACAAAGTACTGGGTGTTAGAGAAACTATGTAAGAACAGAGAGGAATACGGTTTACTGAGATCGCCTCCACTAACCCTCCTCTCAATATATCTTAACACTATTACAATTACTTAAGTCAACAATTTGTGGTTCTCGACAAAATAACTAGTTTAACATTATTGAATATGATTTTTTTTTATATTGGACTGAATTTATGCTTAATTAGTATTAGTAATATACTTTTTTATTATTGGTGTACCAATGATTATATTGTAAATATTCTCAATTCCGTTATAGAAATTTTAATGAATCTTCTTTCAAAACAGACAGAAAAAAGAACAGATTAATTCAAAAAGGATAAGAACATACATGTATTAATAAGCTCTTACTAATATAATATTTTCAGGTAATTTAGGAGATGTCAGTCAGTTGCAACGTAGAACTTCGTACGTATGTACATAAGTTCATGTTGCCATACCATCACATTAGCACAGAGACGCCAATGTCGATTCAAATCCCATACTGATAAAGATAGTAGAGGTATTAATGTTAATAAAGAAGACTAGGGTACGAAGATATTATTCAAGAAATATAATTCAGTGAGATAAGGTTAGAAAGACAAAGGTAGAAGTAGTGACGAATCCAGAAGATTAGGATTTGAGAGAGTACAAAGAGTGGATGCACCTGCGCCATTGCAAACGATTTTGAGCCATGTCATTCAAGGTCTCTAACCATCAATTACTAACATCTCGCGGACCCCAACCAGGTAGCCTACATCTACCAACATGACTCAGTCCACTTATCAGTGACTTCATGGATTTCTGCCATGTTTTGGTATGGCCGCCCCTAACTTTCTTCCAACCTACTCCTACACCACAAAACATAGCTCGTCGAGGCAGTCGGTGGTTAGGTATACGTAACACATGTCCGAACCACCTCAACTGATGAAGTTTCACCACTTCATCTATTGATCTGCCATCCTTACCTAGTACTCGTTTCCTAACGACAGCATTGCTTAGTCGGTTGTCCCACGATATACGAGCAATGCTTCTTAAACATCTATGATCGAATACTAGTAACCTACGAACATCTTCTACTCTTAAAGGCCATGTTTCACAGCCATATAAGAGAACGGAACGAACTGCTGCGCAGTACACCCGCCCTTTGGTTAGCGAACGGATATCACGCCTACGCCATAAGTGACGCAGGTTGGCAAAAGCCAATCGAGCTTTCTGTATCCGAGCTGAGATTTCGTCAGTCATCAGACCGTCAGCACTGATGAGACTCCCCAGATAAGTGAAGTGATCTACACGCTCGACTACTTCACTCCCTATCACTAGTTCAGGTGTCGATGAAACCCAGTCTTGAAGCAACATTTTGCATTTCGAGGGGGGAAACCGCAATTCGAACATGCTTGCATTGTTGCTTAGAGTAGTCAGAAGACTCTGCATTTTGTCAGCGTCTTCACCGAATAGAACTATGTCATCGGCATATTCTAGACCAGTAAGCGACTTTCCTGGTAGAAGATCAACGCCTGAAAAATCTGACGATGTCTACGACAAAGTTGAACAAGAATGGAGAGAGTGGACAGACCTGACGGACACCACTGCTCTCACCCGACCAGTGGTGTTCGAGTAGAGTGCTTGTATAAGGTTAATGTACTTATTTGGTACACCTTTCAATGACAGACACTGCCACAGAACCTCACGATCCACAGAGTCAAATGCCGCTTTTAGGTCCAGGAACACGACTATTGTCGGACGTCTAAATGTGTGTCTGTGTTCCAGGACCTGTCGTAGTGTGAAAATGTGGTCTATACAACCACGTCCATGTGAAAGTAACTCACTTATCATCTGGACTCCATGCACAAGTCCAAATTATTCTTGAATGACTTTGACCTTTAATGGGATAAGCTGATAGAATATAGTTTTGACATTGATTATTTACTCTCTCTGTTGTGCTCGTCATCAGTTGTTCAGACCATAAACTCCATGTACGATCTCTCGAAACAGCTAATAATCTAGTTCCATCATGACTCCATGCTAATTGGGTTACCGTTAACTGATGATGTTGCAAACGCTAAAAAAAACATAAATTGAATACTAGGAATAAGGTATGAATAGAAGTTGTTTATTGTACAGATTTAAAAAGAAAATCGAGAGTAAGTCATAAAAGACTACGTTGAGCAGACTGATTGTTCGAAAAGCTTGTTCATTTTTAGCAAGTCTACTAAAGTGATAAATAGATCTCGTTTACTTGAAAAAGCCTGAAAGTTACGAGACTTTAATTTTTTTTTTAATACCAAGAGCAGAAATAATGACACTACTAGTTGGAAGTTTAGCCTCATTAGTGGTTTGATGAATTTATGAAGCTTTTGGTCGTATAAGTACTAATACTTAAAACTTAATTTCTCCTATGGTCAGCTAGTCAACTAACTCAAATGATTATAACTTAAACAGAGTTTTTGATGGCCGGTTTAACTTATTACCATTGTTTGAATGTTGTAATGAGTATCAAATAGTTGGAAAATAAATATATGCCTTACTGAGAAAAAATGTGTAGAATAGATAGACTTCAATAATTTGTCCGGTTTATAAATTTTGATAGAACAGTGAGAAGATGTAACTGATCTGGAAAATATGATGTATTTGCGTTATACATTTCTAACAATCTAGTCACACATACTTCTCAAGGCATTATAAATGAAGATCGAGAAAAGGTCAATTAAATAAAAGTTTAAATAGACGTAAGGTGATAATTGTAAATGAAGGAGAGAGAAGATTAATGTAATATAGAAAGAATAAGAAAGTGTAGGAAATTGTCATATTACCCTAGGCCATAAAATGGCTTAAAATTTAGCAGGGTAAACTCAAGGTTATAGCAAATTGTTTTTGTTTTGATTAACGAATAGCCAAGGCTTCCATACACCTCGAAATTCGTCCTTCAATGTTCTATCAAAATAAACTTAAACATTACTTACAATCTACACACAACCACCAAACACAAAAATATCATGGATCATCATTTGAAGGACATGTAACACAGATAATAATTCATCTCATGTAGAATACTTAACATATTCCAATAAGATCCATAGAGTTTACTGATCAAATAATAATGGTTGGTAACATTAGGAACATAATGAGAAATCGAATTAGAAATATGTGACAAAAAATTCATATCTGCATATTTTCAGGTTTTTAATGATGGCCTAACAATGATTGATTGATGATTTCAATGTGCACAAAACATAGTAATGTTTTTTGACTAACAAATCATAAAATATTACCTGATGTATACACCAATTAGAATAACCATTCCATAATATAATATGAGCATATTCAGGCTTTGATGATGTACAAGCAGAGGCTACAAGAAGCTGATTTGGATGAACTGCTAAACAATATATCTACAAACCAAAAGAGGAAGGAAGTAAAAGCATGGATTTAAACAAGAGCATAAGAGATGTTTTTAAAAAAGAAGCAAATTATTTTGTATGTTATTTGAGTACGACTACCCGTTTGTTTGTATTCACTTGTACATAGATTTTGAAAGCAGACTACCTAACATACGTAAACACACAGAATTCTTAGTACGCCATAGAACTAAGTTAACATGTTATTTTCACACTAAAATCCGATGTTGAAAAAAAGAAAACAGTTAAACTAATACAACTAGTACTTTATGTTATGCTCGTCAATTGATATGCTTGAAACTATTACGAGTTCACCTTAATCGATAAACGAGAACGAGACAATGACCCTGTGACACAGTAGGCTACTCGGATCCGTTGCCCCAACTAACTAAAGAAAAAGTCTTGATACGGCGTAGAAAGTGTATTCTAAGAGCACCCGGGAAATATGAGGTTTTCAAGCACACAAATCGAGTTTATTTATACATCATGGAAACGTCCTTGGGCGAGCCACAAAAATAGCATACTAAAATAATACGTCAACCAATAATATTCAAGGATTTTCCATGTGGGAAATGTAGTTTCAAGCTCAAATGATCAGCCCATGCCTTACAACATAAAATCCAAAATTAGGACCTTTATCAAGTGACTTCTGGGAATCTAACGTCCCAAACACTTAACAAACGTGAACATTTTAAAGCAGTTGGATTTATAAATCTACATATTTGTGATCGATTTACTTCAAAGTAAAACAATATTATAAGAATGAATCTTAGAACCACCATGATTTGTTAAATTTGAACTTTCACTATGATATCACAACGTCGTTTGTAGGTTAACTTACTTGACTACTTAATAAGATAATAAAACTGATTTACAACATTAAGTAACTTAAATTATATTGTAGTTTATACATTAGTTAACAAATGTTCCTAGTACTGAAGAGTACTCAGTCAGAAGAAAGATCTGACAATTAGTTATAATCAACAATGTCTTGTCATAAACCTTTTAATAAAGAGTATTTATCTTAACTTAAAATTCATCAGTCAATAAGTGGTTAAAAATTAAGAATTCAATTACATTTAGAGAGTTTTTATTCAAAAAATAACAAAGTCAAAACTCTTATAACTTTCAGATAAAAATGCGAAATTCACTTCAACGCTAAACAATAACCTTTCTGTATGAAGTAAGACATAAGTATTTTACTTACCTCATAAGGATGACCATACAATTTTTTCACCTCTGGCCATAGTGTTGCATGTTGTAAGCGATCTTCTGTAGGAAGTTCATTAGATGTATACTGAAATTTCAAATTTAGGAAAATACATTAAACTAACAAAATTCTTAATATTTCATGTCGGTACAAAGTAATCTACATATATACACTGGACAACGGAATAATTAAAACAGGAAATGTGTTGTTTAATTTTTTTGGTAGATAGACTCAGTCTAAAATCAACTAACCAGTCGATGATTGAATTCAGTTTATAATCAAACTTATATTTAATTACTTTTATTTACTTTCGTTTCATGTTGTTTCTAATTATAGCTATATTACATTTAATGGACCTGAAAACAATAACCACACACATTGATTCATTTATTTCTTTGAATTCGAACAATCGGGTATCAAGATGATCTAAAAGAAATTATGCGTGGATTCTACACACTAACTAGTATTTAAAGCATTCTAGTGCTTATATTTTGACAACTAATTGGAACAATTGCGATTAAACAAACTTTGGAAAATGACACAAAACGTTCTTTCTGATCAAATGGGAGGGTTATAAATTTGGTCAGTTCGTAAAGAATCATTTCAGACTACCAGTTATTAGATTCGGAAATCATTAAAACATGTGGAATCAAATTTTACTACAGATATTAGTTACATAAAACAAGAAACAGTTGTAATGTCATTTGTACATAAAGAAATCCCACAAGTATGTTTCCTATGTGATAATAATTGTGTTTCAGCTTAAGTGTAACGATAATTTTTATTCTGCAGTTTTGCTTCTACGATTGTTTGATGCTTTCCTTACTGTCTCAGATTGTTTTCTAAAAAAAACCTCAAAGTCTTGGTAGAAGTCAAATTGATTTATGGTGCATAGCAGTCTACACTTGAGTTCAATGTTGGTAGATGGAATTTTGTTTCACTTTATCAGGAATACCTTTTATTTTTGTAAAGTAAACAACTATAAATCAGAACAAAAAAAAAACAAATATAAATTAACTCTAAATAAACGTACAACTTTATCTAAATTTTCACTTTCATTATTATTGACATATTCATTGTGATTACTGTTGTCCTCAACATTATTGAAACTGTTACTGACACTATTATTATCATTATTTGATGGACTAGTAACAGTTTGATTTGACAGACCAAGTGGTGGTTGTACAGCACCTAAATCAATATGAATTACAGAATGAAAAATGATAATCAAGTGAAGAAATGGATAATTTTGATCATGAAGCTCCCATTACTATTTTAGACAACATAATCTGCATATAATCTGTGAACTATCCAATCATTTACACACATGATTAAAACTATGTTCGCTTAAACTTGATCGATTGTTGTTGACAGTTGTCTTGTCATTGTTAGCAGATTTAATATCTCCTTCAAACTAATTTCTAATCCTATACTTATAGATAACTTTTCTGAATGATTGATATGTTTGGTCGATTTCGGTATATTTATTGACCGAAATGAACAGCGTGGTCACTTTGACTTATCAAGTGTTTCTTGCAGCTGGAGCAATTTATTTTGCAGATAATGTATATATATATATATATATATATATATATATATATATATATATATATAATGTATATCCAGACAAAAGTTCACTTTAAAATTAAAGCATTTTTAGTGAATAATTTTACATCAGTATGTGTTTTAGACTGATGTAATCAACAGTTTCCAGCCAATATGTACCATTACATAGATTTACAGGTTAAATAGGTAATTCATATGTTCACGCATCAGAAATCAATTTTGAATTGGACAAAGTGACGATATTAATTTTTAAAAAGTCCCATTGCAGTTTCCTAAATATTACAGTCGATATATCAATTAAGACGTATAGATTTTTAATCTTCACTTAATGACACAATTATAGTCTAAAGCATTCAACTTTGAACCAAGAAGTTGAAAAATTTGAATTTTTTTAATATTGATTTCAGTTTGACCGTCTGAGTAATATTACTAGGCGTCATACAAATATTATGGCATAGAACCATTGGGATAAAAACACTATATTTGGTAACTGAACTATCAAATTTTTTTTTGCAAAAAGGAATCCAACAAAGTAAAACGGCGACAGTTTACCTGCGGGTATCAAGTTATCAGCAAGAATTTTATCGAGTTTCGAACAAATTGACGATGATGATTGATATAATTTTTTAAAAGAGTTTAAAAATGTTTTGGTAGTAGTAAATACACGAACAACTTTTTCATCACCAGCTGATACATAACATATCGGTGAAATACTCGCAATTGCATTCATATCATAACCATGAATTTGTGGTCTAGCTAATTCGAACCAAAATTCTTGAATCCATTCTATATCAAGGTAAATTAGATCAGAGTACAATTTACTTAGCAATGTGCAAACACAAATAACTACAAAAACTAATTACTATTGTGTTAATGATAACCAACTAAAATTTGTTGATGATAAATCAAGCAAAAATAAATAAAAACACTCGATTCTCAATCGTTATTATTTTAATAATTCAAATCAACTCATCATTCACTGAGGTACTTTGCAACAGAATTAGAATGGATTTACACAATAGCCTATAGTTTTCTAATTTTAAAAGTAGAAATTTAACTATTGTTTATGAAATAGTTAAAGCATGGATTAGCTCACAAAATTCTTTCATGCAATTACACATTTTTAAAAAAGCTATCACTGGGAGTTAGGTATTTAGACAGACAAACACTGCTACAAAGGGGAAATGAAATAATTATGCGGCACAGAACTATAGAATGTGTGAGTGGGCTGGGATACCAGCCAGGTTCCCGAACCGAGGCAAGTGGGTTTTCTAATTCCTCTAGATGGACCTTCCATATATATGAACCCAGCTAAATCGACAGACACTAGTTTTTCGTCCTGTCAATTTCGTCAACACTCCCACTACGAAAAGGTAATGAAAAGAATATCCCTAGCAGCAGCTATATGTGCACGCTCATATGAGAGCATATCGAGAGAGAGAAGACTCTCCCTATTGTCAGCCGTACCGGTGTAATGAAAGAAGACGGTAAGACCAAATGAAACAAGGGATTTATCAGAAGAATACACAGTTTACTAGCCAAATGTATACACCTTATCAAACATTCATTTACAAAACAGGCGTATCTTTGGCTGTCTTCTTCCGCATGTCTTCTGTTCTTCAAAGCACTGTGATGGGGTTATGAATTTGAATCTGAAACTGTTTTTGGCTGTAGCTTCAGGTCGACACTCTGCTGCATACTACTTCTAAGCTTCGTTGTAGGTAGCAAATAACGCACCAGGGAATTCGAGGAGTAAATCAATATATTCATATGATTTTCTAGTTAGGAAGTATTCAACGTACCCAAGTAAACATCCGATCGATAGTATAAATTTTTCAATGATCCCTAAATAAACCAATTTTTGACGGTTTTGTAGATAATATTAGCATTTTATTACATAGGATTAAATTTTTAGTCATTCAAATACTGAGTACTCAGTCTAATGTGAAAAAATATCAACCCAATAATTCAGCGGGTTCGAAAAGATCACTTTCAAAAATCAACAACATATTTCATAGTTACAAAAATGAAGAAACATACCATTTTTTCTACCACTGGTGTTTGCTGCATGTAAACGAACTGTTTGATCAAATCCTGCAGTTAGAAGATATATGTATGAGTCAATGTCCGCAATATTTTCTTCAGGAAATGTTGACATCCAACTTAAATCAGTTACAGGTCCAACATGTCCTGTTAAAGGTAATGCTGGAAGCCAAAATTGTTTATCAGATTGGTACCAGACAGAAATACTTCCCTACAAAATGTCATCATGCGAAATCTGAAACTAGATTACCCAGCACTTCAAAAGACTAGTTTCATTTCAATTTTGGACAAATCGCAATGAATTTAAAAATGCAGCAAGGATGTAAAATGTCAATCATGACCTGACCATATTACTGTCCATCAGTCAAGAAGACTGAGGATAATGATATGGAAAGACAATACATCGACAACTGAATTGCACTGTCGAAAGGAAGGAATCCACATAAAAGATAGTCATTTATACAGCTTTAGTCTTTTTGCACAACTTCTTGTTATAACACAAACCAGTGCTTTGATGAGCATTAGAATCGATTCCCGAAATGTGTTTGTTTTTACATGTCTTACGAGTTTGAATGAGCAAATAAAACAAGGAATCTAGCGATACAACGACAACGCTCCGAATATAAACTCAATATGTACCTACGAAGCATTGAAATAATATAGAATTGACAGAGTAACCTATAAACAAAACATTAGTTCTGGCGACAACAATGCAAAAGGTTTCCATCAATCTTACTGAATTTGTTTTGGGAATCAGAAAGTGTTCTGTTTCTTATTCCAGTTATCTATCAACCGGAAATGTACACAACTATTTATGGATGATTAAGTCTGCTGCGTATCATTGAACTATGATAAAATTAACAGGTGCAAAATATATGGTTTTTTCAAGGTTACAGAAAATGATCATTTTATTCAAAACCATAAAATCTTTCAAGCATCGCCAGTATGTAATAGAAGTGAGCAGGGAGCGACGCTGAGGTTCATAGTCAAATTAATATATATCATCAATCTATAAATCCACCGACTATCGGTTTCAGTTGCCTAGAGATCTACAAGTCACTTTGATCGAGAGGTGTGAGGCAGTTGGAATCGATGGTTTAAAACCTCAAGTGATATGACCTGCAACAACCAGCAGAAGTAAACCGATATGTTTGCTTCACTTCTTCCTGAACATTGAACATATTATTATTATTATTATTAATTTTATTATTAAAGATTGTCTGCTCGCATTACTTTACCCTACTGCTATTAGTATTGTAACACTTATTTTCTCGATTCTTCAGCAAAGTTGAAATGAAATCTGAAATTGAAAAATAATTTTTTAGTCCTACATTGTATTTAATTATGTACACTAACAAGTATATCTAACAAACAGTACAAAAATCTAAACATGCTTGATGATTTTAAATAGTACATTACTTTCAGTAGTCTTTAGAAGCAAACGACTCCAAAAAGGGGAGCCAGACAATGCTAACAAACTTGGTGTTCTATCCCCATAATCCTGAGGCACTGGTAGCTCATACTGAACGAAAATCGTTTTGTCTTTTCGAATGTCGTAAATAGCGTATCCATTATTACTCCTAAACTTCTTATAACACAAGTAAATAGTGGAATGAAACTTTAAAAAAAACAATACATACTGATAAGACAAAATTAAACATACTTGGTAGGTGTGCACAAATACTTTGTGACCATCACTGGGCAACCAATGACAATCCATTAGACTTAACCCAGTGTCACCAAAATGTCCTAGTCGGGCTTTTTCTTTCCATAAACTGCACATATCCGATGGGTCTAAAGCATTTTCATTAGGAGGTTGCCAAATGATTAATGATTTATCCATACTGCAAGTAAGTAAATTGGGAGGGAATAAACGGTTCATTGTTGGTCCCCAGCGAACACCGGTAACCCAATTCTCATGGCCGGCTAAGACACTTTCTGGTGCTATGCATACATGAATATTATTAATGTCAAACCATTCAGGAAGCTGAAGACTGTTAACCTTTAGTTTAATAAGTAATAAATACAAAGTTGACCAGTAAATAGTAGTGCGTTATTTATATATATGTAAGCATTGAAGCATGAATGGCAATAAATTCTACGAGACATGGTGTAATCAATCATATCGTATCCGCTAGAATATTCCCGGATACTGGACAAACATTTAATCTGTATGAGTGAGCTTATCAGAAACATTTTAAGATCAACAGATAAATTCTGGAAACCATCAGAATTTGAACTTAAACGAAAGGAACCAGAAGCATTAAGTCGTAGGTGAAAAATTTCCAAATAATTCCATAGATACTTACCTTACTCGTCGAGTAAAATAAGAAGTTCGGAATAATATATAAGACTATAATATTACGAGAATGTTACACTAATGTTCTGCTTATTTAATGAATTAGCTATCATTTCTGAATTTTATTTTTTATTTTACTTTTTGACAACAGTCTTACAACAATCTAAATTTGGCTGCTTAGCCTTATCAAGTTAGCCCACTCAACAAATCATTACTCGTCTTTGATGAATTTCAATAAAAAGCCACTCATTTAATACGGCTGATAACTTTGAAAACCAGCTATTTGTAATGAAAAATTGATCAACTTAAGTATTTCATATATTCACTGCAAGTAATCACATTTTGTGGAATATATAATAAAGTATACAAAAATATGGAAGTAATAATTACACAGGCTTTGTAAGATCTACAAACAGAAAATATAAAACTAATGAAAATTCATACAGTACTAATTTACGAGACAGGCGAATTCACACTAAAACTTTTGTTACAGTAAACTGAGATAAAGAAAAAGACTTTTAAAAAGCTGAATACCTTTGCATGTCCAGAATTTGTCACAGTAATGTCATTTTCTGGAGAATATAAACGCCATAGCCGAACAATATTGTCTTGGCCACCTGTAGCAATCAGCACAACAGGAGCTGCCGACTCTTGGTCAATGCACACATCAATACATCTAGTCCAATCTTGATGCCCAGAAATGGTAGCGCTTAATGTGAAGTTTAAACTTTTAACATTTTTATTCTGATTATTATCTAGTTGACCTGACCATATTTCCATCTGTCCGTTGTCAAGACCAAGAACAATAAAATGAAGCCAGCATACGTCAGTAATCGTATCGATGGACTTCCGTAGATTATATTTTATACAAAAGCGTCTGAGACACAGACAAAGTGATGGAATTCGTGTAATATTACTGATCAAAATACACGGTAATAGAGTCAAATTAGTTGTAAGTACATCCTCTGGAATATGAACAGACCAATTATGAACTGATGTATCCGCTGCAGCTGATAGAAATAACGTTCCTGAACATAAGCGATCATTTTCTGATGAAGAGAAAAAGTAACCATCAATTGAGTTTATAGTGGAGTTATTCGGAGTCTGAAATTTATTAATTATTTGCCAGGTGTCTGTTTCATTAGAATAAATTAAATTTTCAGTTAAACAGGCCCAAATCATTACTGTACCACAACTATCAGCCGACATTAGGAAACAGATAGGTTGCTGATAAACTTGTGAGGATTTCTGATTATGAAAACAATTCAACCACCGTAAGCATCTTATATCAGCATTATGACCAGGTAATGTTTGATAAACATGAAAATTATCCCGAGACAAATCTGTATTCGAATCAACCGTTTCATCATTTGGATGAGAGTGGGATTTAGCTAAACATATAAAATGGCTAGAACCAAATGCCAATATAGTTTCAACTACTGACTTTTTTGATGAACCCACAGCTATGATCGAACTGGAACCGGAGAAATGATTAATGCCGACTGACGTGTAGACACAATGGATTTTAGGTCTAAGTGATATTTGTTCTTTATTTGCTGCATCCATCAGAGAAGTTAAAATGCTGTGGAGGAAACAAAATCAGAGTTAAGGAATATCATAAACACATTTTAAGAAATACTAAAGTAATGAAACTAGTACACTGGTATAAAGTGAGACAACTGTTTACTCTTCAAGCTTCCATTGTGCAGTCATCTTATTACAGATGGTTATCCACTGTAAAACAAAAATCATCTGGATTAATTATTTTACACTTGGAATTGTTATTCAATGGACATTATGAACAACGGAAAAGGAATTGAATCAATGATTAGTAGAACACAAGATAATGTAAAATACTAAACATTGGAAATATAGTTCGAGAAGGGATGAGGAGAAAACACTTATGAAAGAGTACTGAAAGTTAAGATATAGCAGAAGATAGAATGAATGCATTCGTACAAGTGTAACTGATCTTGAGCCATGTTATCCAACCACTAATCATGGTGTTCATACGAACTTTAAATACGCAGACTATCACTCCCAATATGGATTGGATTAACAATCAATGACTTCAAGGATTAATGTCATATATTGGTTCATTAGCCACTAACTTCTTGAAAACTTACTCTTACTCCAATTAGCATTATACATTTAAATAAGAGGCGGTTAGTCATCCATAAAACATGTCCAAGTTAACCAACAAAATGCAGATTCACAGTCGATTTGCTACATTTTCTTAGAATCCTACATTTAATTTTAACACTGTTTACTCATTTTTTCCACGATATATGAGCAATGTCGTAAAGACATATATGATCAAGAACTTTCGGTATAGAAAAACAAGTGGACTATTGAGCAATATACTCGTCACTTCGTTAGATAGATATTACACCTATACAACAAATAATCAAACCGATCAAATGAACTTCCTGAATCCATCAACCTCAACAATCTACCAGTGTTGATAAGACTTCAATATCAAGTGAAGTGTTCAGTGAGTCCAACTACTTCACTTCGCATGATCAGTCTAACAGTTGATGCAGACCAACTTTAAATTAATATTTTGCATTTAGACGGAGTACAACGCATTCCAAATATGCTTTTACTACTGAATGCGTCTACATAACTCTATATTTTATTAGCGTTGTCACCAAACAGGAATCTCAGTGCGCCATAAAATAAATGGGTTGTTAAAGAGATTGACCCATGGTAAGTTAGTTTTAAAATGGTAAAAATGAGGAAACAGGGTAGTCCTGACGGACACCACTTGAAGTAAAGAATTCCGTTGACAGTTCGTCATAAGCTCTCACTCGACCAGTGGTGTTCGAGTAGAGAGCTTGTATGAGGTTAATGTACTTATTTGGTACACCTTTCAATGACAAACACTGCCACAGAACCTCACGATCCACTGAGTCAAATGCCGCCTTAAGGTCCAGGAAAACAACTATTGTAGGACGCCTAAATGTGTCTTTGTCCAGGACCTGTCTTAGTGTGAAAATGTGGTCTATACAACCACGTCCAGGTCGAAAACCAGACTGGTTTTCTCGAGTCTGCTCTTCATGAGCTTTCGTTAAGCGCCGAAGTATTATTGAGGCCAAAATTTTAGATACCATATCTTTGGCTCGAGTAACTTCGACTGAATGAGTTTTGAAGAATTAATAACTTTTTCAAAAACTTTTGATGATGAACACATCTTTTGGTCAACAGAAACTAATCCTCGATTCAGCTCAAGAAATGTAACTATTGTAGTGTCAAAGAGGATGTGCAATCCAGAAAACTAACGAACAGTGAAGATTTGATCTGTGCATATATGTGAAACTAGCTAGTTCACCAGCTCCAGTTAAGAGACGGATGATGTGAAGACAATTAATCCATTGTCTTGTTCATTGACTGATTTGCGAGTAGTCGTAATTACATAGACTTTGCTTCAGTATGATATGCTAAAATTATCTGGGTTGAGTTTACGGTTCTGTGATTTTGTCGATAGATATTTAATGCAGGGTTTCACTGAAGTTTTGCTTGAATTGAGCAGGCCACTTCAAAAAAAATAAATAGGAGTTACCATGGGCTACTTGCTTGGAGTTTGAGTCTCAAGAAAGGTTTTTTACATGTAGATTAATTGAATAGGTAATGTTGGTAGGTTGGATAGTCTTAACATTTCTTAGTGGATAAGATCAGCTCACTTTGGCGACTAAACCTTCCAGTGGGTAACAAAATTAGAAAAACGTGGTCTTACTCAATTGCTCTATGTGAAGAAAGGTTATAGTTGATTTATATAACTTGCATAAGTTATTTTTCAGTGTGCCTAGGATTTCGAAATCCGGAAAAGCCGAGCAGTAATTAAAATAAACACTAATTTTAGTTGTTCGCTCTTGCCTTCCGCTTAAATAAATATGCTCAGTTTGAAAACACTGTCGACTATATTCTAAGTATGCTCAGTCTCATTTTTTTCGAGGGAACAACAATCATTTACATAGCTTACTTAATTTTACAACCAATGGATGAATGGAGAATAAAACTAACATATTCTTTAATTGTACAGTCGTACCTCAAAGCAAAAATCTAATCACGCGTACCACTTAGATCAATAGTTTACCGAAGTAATTATAACAGGCAGTATATTACCGATTTCATAAACTCAATTCTTAGACAAATAAGATGTCAAACTAAGCGAGGGTATGGAAATTATTTCATTTGATAGTATGACTTTATTAACACAGAGCATCTATAAGATAGCAAAGAAGGCTATTTTAAGCGTGGTTTACGACAAATCAGTAGATTAAACAAATGTCACTATTCTAACCTAACAATTGCATTATTTTATTATAAGGTTGTAATGATGACGACATTGTTAAAAACATATGATCGTTTGTCAAACAACACAAAAGCTTCAAGTATAATACACTTTCATTTTTATGTGCCCCAGGTCAGATAAAGGAATAAATACTGATCTAGACTATGAGGATTTTCATTTTATACAATATTTTCTAAGGTGGAAATGAGGTGAAAATTTCAAAACTTTAATTATTTGTTAATTCAAAGTTTTAATTGGCGTGAAATATCAAATCGACAATAACAGTCATTTGAGTGTTTCAACCGTGATCTATGGTCTAAATAGTTTGTTCGAAAAATAAACGTAATTCTGAATTCATAATTTGTCAGGTGTTTCTTCATACTTGTGATTAAAAGTATACATTTGAAAGTAGTCACAGCAAAATACGCAACCCATACAAAAATGACATGCAAAATTCATAAATGCCATCGTTATGTTATAACTTGGTTCTAGTTTTCTTTTATGTATCTTGCGAATTCCACAATTATTTGGATATAAAAATGGCACAAATCTTGATACGGCTTAATGAATATTTGGTATTCACTATTCTATTGAATCATAACAGCTGTATATGTTCAGCACTTAGTGTACCATCCGATATTTCTTGTTGTTAACTTACAGGATTGAGCTAGAGTCACTGTTACTACATGGTATATTAATCAATCAATATCATCATACAATACAAACAAACAAAGTAGATAAGAAAACTATTTTAAGAAATCACTTAACTGTAATTTTTGACTTTGCAGTGGAAATTACACTGGAAACCTTGTAGTTACAAAATGAATAAGAAAATATGTGTAAATAATACTCATAAGCTAACATTTTCAATGAAAATTACACTAAGACATCTATCTCAATTAGAATCCATGAAAAAGTAGGAAGATAGTGAAAAAGAAATTCTATCCATGGAGTAAAAATAGAAATAAGTACATACTAAATAAAGATTGTTATAATAGTATGAAAGAAGTTGAAATTACCTTATACGACTAAAAGAAAACAAATTATGGACAAAATGCAAAACTGTAATATACATCAAAACACAATACAACATGAACTGTCGCTACTCGGCCCCACTATCTGTATGTGTTGGATCTGATTCAGAGATCCACTTTTTTAAATACTGTCCTAAAAGATCACGTATTCGTTTGATAGATCCAGGTCGGAGCCAGCCATCAACTGGGTCAACTTCAGTTCGTTCGGGTACTTCTTCTAACATAGCCTGTATCTCGGGAATCTCTATATCAGATAGACAATAACGGACTTGATGTGTAGTTGGCCAGTTATTAGGTCCGAAACGATAATCCGCAACCTAAACAACAATAATTTTGTAGAACAAATAAAGTCTGAGTTCTATATTGAACAGTAAATTGTTCTTTTCAATAAAATTAATCACAACAAACTACTGAATTCTATAGTAAGTAATAGACAATGAGTATTCGTGTCGGACTGATAAATTACTTTGTTCTACCAGAACCAAAACTTAACAGGTAAAGTCCAATGACTCTAACTTCCTACAATACAGGATATTTTATTATTTTAATCCTCCTAAATTGTGAATGAAAAGATACCTAAATCAGTATACCTCTACTTAAAATACATATTTTTATTGAAACTGACCGCGTAAATACTGTTAATCTCATCGCTTCAGCATAAACTGGCTGGTAGCTTTGTCAGCTACAGATGGCTTTCAGGAAAACTCACCTGAGGACTTCGAACAAATATTCGTTTATTAGGGATTTTTCTGATCAAATTTTATAGTTCACTTAGTTTGTGTTGATAATAATCACACCCAGTTAAATGCAACAAAAAGACACGTTGAACACGAAGTAACAAATAATCATTAGGACGAAAATATATGTAATCTGGCAAAGACATGAGACTATGAAAGACTTTTATATTTCAGACATGAAATGTAAGTATTCTAGCCATTACCGAAGTAAATAGTTATGAAATAAACTCTAACACACTAAAACGTATGTACATTAGAAATAGGGTTGTAACAATAAAATAATATCAGTTTGTCAGAAGCTTTGCAGCAGTAGAGCCTACAAATTTTTTTTTACATTTTTTTAAAACTTCTTAGCCTTACAACTAGTTAATACTAATTTGATGGATTTCATAAGAATATTTAGATTCTCCAAGCTCCATGTGATTGACAGTGATATTGAGAAAGTAGGTAGAATCCTACCGAAAACCTTGCTTGAATAAAAACTGTACGTAAAACAGTAAGCAAATGCCTATGATAGGACGTATTTTATACTTTAATGTCCTTTCTGAAAGAAACTTTTAAGGAAAACTATAGAGCATACCTTGTTCAAATTTTTTTGTATTCTATCATCACCATCGTCATCTTCAACATCATCAATCATGGTCGGATCTAATTCATCATTTCCATCATAGTCGATATTCTCTTCTTGAGATTTCTTCGAGCTATTCAAAAATTCATCAAAGAAACTGTCCTCCATAGAATGTACAGATTCATAAGATTTACGACTATCTCCCAAAACTCGCTTATTGGCATCCGTGCATAGCATACGTTTCCTTGATGAAGAATGACATAACAATTTACGTACAACCATATAAGCTTGAACTCGAAAATCAATTACCTAAAATAAATGCATTATATTTGCAAGATACACAATCAATTTAACTGATTAAACTAGGTAGGTGATTACAAAATGTAATTAAATAACTAACAGGTCAGACAGAAATAGATGAGGGTCATTGAAATCGTGGAAAAAATTGTATCTGAGATAGATAATTTTGGTGTTCTAGCTTGCAAATAAGAGGACTTCCATAGAGAGAAATCTTCCACTATCAAATAGTTATCTTGCTTTGTTAAGTGTATTCACTAACAAGCTGTACCAATTACTTTAAGATTTCGATCACTAACTAATCACTTGATAAGAGAAAATTGATTGAACAATATGGAAGATGAATCATAAATCCACTGTTCACAGACCCGAATTATTGAATAGAGAAATAACCTCAGGTCATTGAAAAATACTATCATGTTACAGTCGTATTTACCTTCAGAATATAACATAAAGACAACAATCCCATCCGAACATCTATGTAGTACCAAAACGATAGAGTTGGTAACAAAGAAGCAGATACCGAAACTACCATGTAGACAAACGAAGTACAAAACGGATATTTATTAGTTTAATGAAAAGCCGAAGGTAGTTAAGTAGTTTACAACAAGGTGTGTGAGGAAATGAAAGAAAAGTAGTCATACTTCTCATACCTATCTTACTTTAATTAGGGAGTTACTACACGGCTTTAAAATCAATTTAACTGCTATGGACTATATAAACTTTTTGAGTGAGAATACTAATAAATCAAAAATATTAACCCCAAAATACAGTAATCAGTTTAGATAAACCTAACAACAACCATATATTTGAGGTCTAGAATAGCACCCTGAGCATAAAACACAAGATAAACTGACACAAAAAAATTATAGTCCATAAAGTAACATAGGAAAACATATACTGAACATATTTTACTACATAAATCATAATCATACTTGATAACGACGGGCTTCAGGATCTTTACGAGGATCGTAACCATACCGGATCCAAGCTCGGCTCCATGGTCCACGAACCATATAGTAAGCTACAGAAGGCAGTATTTGAGTAAAATAAATCAGTCGAGTGTCTCCAGGCATGTGGTAAGCCAGTGCTGGACGCATCCAAATTGGTCGCTCATCGAAGAGCTAAGTAAATAAAACACTTATTTATTAAACAGGATATTTATAGTTCAATAAGAGCAACCCTGAATGAATTGTGTGTAAGCAACTTTGAAATTAATTGAACTAATAAACTGTGGTTTAATGATAGTATTTAAATTTTAGTTTACAGTGATGAATTTAAACAACCTCTCATAATAAACTTTAGAGATCGAAACGAATAAGCCTAATCGCAGTGATAGGGAAAACAATATATGTAGTCACATGTAAAACAAGATATTAGAATTATCCTAAACATGAACTTAAATTATGAGTTGATTTCCTTCCTTTAGCTATTGGCCGTTTGTCAGCTGGCTAAAATGGAACTAGATGACGGTAGTAGAACAATGTCTAATTAAAGCCTGCTTAACAAATACAAAATCAAGGATTTCTAGCGAATACAAAGATAATCATAAACGAGAATATAACTATTTTCAATGAAACTTACACTGAAACATCAAAACCAAATACAAAACGTACTTTCTTAATTTCATCCTTGACTTTCATAGCAGGTGGGCCAAGATTTATCACACGTTGTATCGCTCCAGGTCTTGGAGAAGTAGGAGTTGCATCATCTAAGTTCACTAGATATCCAAATGTTGGTCGAGCCTTTCTTGCTATAGTTGATAAAAGGAGAATATTTTATTACAATTAATATACAATAAGCATAGACAAGATATTAGTAAATAAAAAAAGAATACCCAAAACAAAAGCAGCTTGTACAGACAGTAAATGTTTTCGCTTATGCACCTAAGAACGCGAAACTTATAAACATCGATTAAAACCTATGCGTAACTTAACGGCAAAGCTTAAGATAGTAAATAAACATATATCAATAGAAAAGGTATCAAATAAAGAGCTCATTGAATGAAGAACGAGAAAAGTTAAAATAAACTTAAAAGTAAAATATACTCTTGGTTGTATTGTTGTTGATGTCATATTACCGATACCTGATCAATTGGTGAAAATATACTGACAATCTATACTTCTACATATATGGTTCAATCTCCTTAATTATTTGTACTATAAATTAGTTTAGTATTTATTTTAAACTTCGAAATTTCTTCTGGCTGAAATTCTCCATACAAGGTACTAACTGTTATAACGCTGCTACGTATAGCTATTCAGTCCTAGCGGCGTCCAATTCAAATATCCCAATACGACCCAAAATGCTATTTCAAATCTCCTATATATCAGAACACAACACAGTGGGATGGAGTTGTTTATTGGGTCGAGTACAGAAGAGATGTAGGCAAGAGAAACGGAATCGGAATCGGAATCATGAAGGCGTACAGATAGTGCGTATTTATACATTAAGGTCGAATAGGAAAGAGCATCAAAGTCTGTGACATTGACAGTTTAGGACGACAAGTAGGAAAGGACAAATGAAATGGCATTGACAGTCTGGATGACCAATAAGAGACAACATTGAAGTATTTGACTTAGACAGTTAAAACGATCATAATTTTGACCAATAGAAATCGACCAATAGGATTAAACTTCTAAAAATATCTTAGGATATTTGGTGAATATCCTAACACTAACCGTCTTTTTTACTTTAGACAATGAATTTAAATTCAAGGCATGTTACTGTTTTAATGTTATTTATCTTATTTTAAAAGGATATTTTAAATGTATTTGTACGTAACAGTTGTTGAAACGATCAATTTACTTTGGTATCTCCCATAAATTTTCTAGTATTGATTTAGCTTTTGGAGTTGTGAAGAGATAACGAAAACTTAATCAGTTAAATCTGATATAACTTATTTATCAAGTGTAGATTTAGATACTTATCTTTAAGTCACATTATATCTGTGTGACATGGTGAAACTACCTGATTGCACAAACCGAAGTGGAAAGGAATTAAAACTTGTGGCCTACAGGTTGGAAGCCAAGTAGTTTTGGATTAAGCCACCGGGACCAAAAACGCAAATACATCAAATTATTCGTCTATTGTTGGAAGAAGTTTAATCTAGGGGTACTTTGGAGGGTTATAAATTTATAACTGTTTCAGTCCAGACCAGAGTTTCTGACTTAACATTTAAACTTTCCTATCTACCATTTTTCCATAAGTTTCATTTGTTTGACACAGTCAGCTAATAACAATAATCATATACGTTAAAGTCTATTCGAAAAATTATAAAATCAACTGCCATGAGGTCATTAAAGATCATGAGATAAGTTTGGTGACAGTGTTAATAGAAGAATAAAATTGAATTAAACTAACTGTATTTATTGACTGATGTTGAATAATTTGAATAGGATTTCTATTAGGACATTCATCCAATATCCTAAGAGAATTATTGGTCAATTCCTATTGCTAAATTTCTGCTGATCAATTTTATGATCGTCCTAGATATCAATGTCACGTACTCCAATGTTCTTTCTTAGTGGTCGTCTTACCTGTCAATGACACAGACTTCGATGCTGTTTCCGATTCAACCTGAATATATAAATACGCATTATCTGTAACGTTCTGTGACCCGGACCCGGATCCTCGGTCCGGGATCGTGATTCTCTTCTGGACCCGGACCTCGTACTTTCTGGATGCTTGTAGAATACAGGTTCTACTTCATATCAAGTCTTCTTCTCTCACTCAATGGGGGTTGGGACACTCGGATTAGAGTAGCATGTCGTGTCGCTGGATCCTCGCTCTCGTTTCCCGACTAAGGTAAACTCGTAATAGTTCAAGCATATCAAATTGACGTGTTTACGTGCATGCGTAACAATTTTATATTGTCGACTGTGAACCGCAGAGAAGTTAAAAATACGCATTAAAGAAGGTCTAGCGATAATTAACTGATTGGAAATTTATTCAATATATTTGGTGAAACAATTCACTACAGATTACGCATGGTCTAGAAAACGGAGTTAAGTGTAATAGAATTCAACACCTTAATAAAGTAATTGTACTGATGACTTAAATCTATCCACATTTTAATAAATTGTGCGCCTATGACTAATAATAGGACAAAACCAAAAAAAACTTCAGACAACTTACAAACTGGAAGTTTGTGACTTTTTTCTTCAAGCTGAATGTACTCAGTCGTACGATAACGAGGAGCAAAATTGTAAAAACTTGGGGTATCTTGGCGACTAAACAGGACCGGTGGCAAATACAACGGCATATCACGAGATAAATAAGAATCAATCATTGTTGTTGGATCCTTGATTATGAGATCATTATAGAATATTCTATAATTAGGTGGGATGGCTTTGGATCCCCCACTTTTATCTGTAGTCGGAACACGTTCAAATGGACCGAATTGAAAATCAGCCATAGCTAAAGTAAGAAACAGGAAACAGGTTTTATTATATATATTATATATATGAAGACAAGTATACGAGGACCAGTCTTAGAAAAACTGGGAATATAATAAAATAAAAATCATCACATAGCATACATCAATATAGTAATTAACTACATAGAAAATATAAAGTAGGGACTAAAATTACAATATTGTAAGGAATTTTTAAGCTTTTAGTTATTCTCCAAACAGTCAGAACCAGCTTCTAGAGCTCTCTATCAACATTAGGCATTTATACTAAACAATGAGATGATTCAACATTGGTAGTAACACAAAAAAGGTGCAATTTGTATGGTGTCTAATAGCCATATTTGATCAATTAAATGAGAAACTCCACAGAAAGAGAAAGGACGTGACGTAAATCTTTCCTGTAATTTTAGCAACAACCTTTAAGAACTGGAGAGAAAAAAAGAGAATTAAAACACATAAAGATAGGAATAGCTAACTTCTAAAGATTTCCAAGACGATGAGGAATGAGTGAATAAGTATAACATTGAAATGACATTTAGAGTCGATACCTGGTTCAAACTCATTCGTGTGTGCACTTACGGATCTGCAGTATTTCCTTCACATAACTATGTTATTATCTCTAATATTTTTATATTTTTCCATTTTATTGCTGCTTATATGTTAATAGTTAGTTGTTATACTACTAAGTGATTCAATGAATTTATACACTTCTGTTCCATGTTTCATGCACTTTCTACAAGACAATCACCATTTCAATTGGAGTAAAAGTTTACCATATAACGTCATTCCTTTGCAAGTCAGTAAATTATAGAGTTTTCAAAAAAGACATCAGACAATTTGGCTTTATAAGCATATTTAGGTGACTGCTTAACCTAGCAACACAGTACTCAGTAACAAACCTATCTATCTACAAGATACTAGTAATCCGAGTATGGTGAATGAGTCTACTTCGATAGAGTCAGTCAGTTAAAATGGAGAAGCTCGTACAGATAACTAGTTTATTTCTGGAGTATTCAACATATTGTCATTTGCACACAGTTGCCGTAACCAATCGAAATTAACTTAATACCGCATTATATCAAATGCTTTGCTTTGTCCACAGTTTGCTAGTTCAGAATAGTGCTCCGTAATCATACTTCAAATAATCTCATTCAAATACGATTATTTGTAGTGCGATTGCTGAATCGAATTGATTTCATTGACATTCGTTATTAGTACAAACTACTGGTCTTTTGTCTTTAAAACCTGCGTTGCCTGCAAGCAAGTTAAAATCGTGTATTTTCCATCTTCAGAATTAGCGAACAAGCAAATAATTTGGTGTAAATACAATAAATCATACCTGTCACTGACTAGATCATAGGTGTCAAAGAAATAGCTATTATCAATTGTCATGTATCCCGAATGTTGACTAACTACTTCTAATCTTCACCTTACTCCCATGCACTCGGAAATGTATGAGTACTATGAACACAAACATTACTTGCTGAAAAAGACACTGTCTTGTCTCCGCAACTCGGCGTTCTGCGACATTCATCTCAAATCACATGTCACAACTCTACTCAGAAGCATATACATTCACTGCTGTTGCTATCCTATCATCTTCAACGAAACAGAATGCGGGGAAGCAAGGGTTACAGGAAATATTGTTCACACCTATTGATACAAACCTTATCTGCTGAGTATTAGGTCCACACCAAGTTTTCAGAACCCTATTCAATAAATGGATCCAAAGATCGGAATTATTGAGGAAGTGCGGAGACCTGCCAGCTTATGACTCGTTTCCGTGTTGTGAAAACACCCTGTATAGGACTGTCACTTGTCACTTTATTAGGACTCCTCTGCTCAGCACTCGGTTGGGTGGGACCAGGTTTCAAAATTATTGTACAGAACTGCTTTTACCGATCTTTTGTATTCTTGTCTTCCGGTCATTTTCGTACAAGTAGGATTTAAATATTGTATTCATGCTAGGTTTCTTTTTATATAAAAGCAGTATTTAGAGTAAGTGCCAAGGTCAGTCACTCAGCTGCAACATAGAACTTGGTGCTTAGGTACACCACATTAGCACAGAGAGATGGAACTGTCAATTCAAATCCCATAATGGTCGAGTTAGTAGCAGTATTAGCGGTAATGGAAAAGACTAGAGCTCGAAAATATGATTCCAGAAGTATTATCCATTGAAATAAATTTAAAAATAGAAAAAACCTCATAGAGAATTCGGAAGATTAGAAGTTGTGAGAAGATAATGAATGAATACATCTACATCGTCGCAAACGTTTTTGAGCCATGTCGTCTGAAGTCTCCAACAATCGGTTACCATTGCCTCGCGGACCCCAACCAGGTAGTCTACACCTACCGACATAACTTAGTCCACTTGTCAGTGACTTCACAGATTTCTGATATGTTTTGGTTTGGCCCCCCTAGCTCTCTTCCAACCTATTCCTACATGACAAAACATGGCTCGCCGAGGCAGTCGGTGGTTGTGCGGACGTAACGTAGCGTTACTGAAGTCAACTTGACGTTCTGTGTCCAACAGGCGAGTAAGAACAGGATTCTCAATCAGTCTTACCTACCTTTTTCTCAATCAAGACGGATGGAGTTCTGCTATACGATAGTAGACTTCCCAAATTCCACACTATGTAAATGGTTCCTCATGAGCACGAAAAATATAGGTCAAGAACTAAACACAATACTATGAATCCTGTGATTTGAAACTAAAAATTTTTGACGAACTGGTTGCGGTTTGTCTATGATAACACCAAAGTGTAACAAAACTTGAAACCAATGATTTAATTAACAAACATTTAAAACAATGTCCATACCATCAAATTTGTAAACCCGAGTTACGCGTCCCAAAATAACAGGAACTAATTTGACCTCGCCTGTCACTTTGTTTCTAAGACGTTGAATACGTATGATAAATGAATTGGATGAACGACCATCTCCACAAGCAGGCTTTGAATATACCATATGCGGACGAAACGAGAGATTCAAACGACGTTTGTCATCAGCAAATACCTGAAAACGACAGGATTAGATTACAGAAAACAAACAAATCAGCTGGGAATAATTTTCACAATAATGGATCCAACAAGCTAACACGAACTAGCGTCAAATGAATGTAAATCTTTACGTTATCCAGAAGCCTACTTACAGAATTAGAAGCCATTGTGTAGGAAAGTGAAAATGTGTATTTAGGGTACAAAGCTAGAAACTAATTTTATTTGTGAAACTGTGTCACATGAATACAGGTTACTATATACTCCCCAAAGACAGAGTAGAATCAATCATTTGACCTCATTTTGTCAAGGCAAAGAACCGGCGCGATTGACTCAACTTGAAACTAGAAGACCGAATTCTGCTTCAGATGGCCTCGTTGGTGTTGGTATAGCATTGAGTTCAGAAGTGGAACACTCAGAGTGGATTCCAGAAGACATTTGCTTGTCGGCTGTCTGACGCAACGGAGCAGAAAGAACTCGGAAAGGTAAGGACACTCACTGTTGCCCCTTCGTTATCTCTGCCTGCGCTCCCACTGATTGTAACTCCAGACCGTAGCTGTTACCTTAACGTGGTGGTCAGGCTTGCCCATCGTGATGACCCAACCGAGCTATATTGGCTGGAACACATGTTCCTGCAGGTCCTACCATGCCAGGCAGGTCGATTGGAGAACGATGAGACTAAAAACAGGTACTAAAAGTCTGATGGCGAAGTCGTACTACTGACTGCAGAGGGGTGTGACAGCAGTAAGGTGTTTCCCTCGGACAACCAGCATCTGCAGCAATGCTGCCTTCTCAAAAGAAAGGACGACTTAGAAAAGCTCGACCCTAAAAATGTCACACCTCACCCTACCTCACGGATTTCCGTCTCCTTCGGTAAGTGTCCACTAAGGGCTTTCAAGAGTGGAGCTAATATTCAAAAATCCTTTAATAAAAAGGCCGTGCGTGACCGGCCTTAAGCAGTTGACCTTGGGCTCTGCGGTCACGCTTTCAGGTCTCTAAACCTACACTAATCTTCCATCTTTTTCAGGTTCCTCAAGAGAACCTCTTCCACGGAGTGGGCAGCCAGGAATCGACAGCCGCCGTCATACCCGACACAGCAGGAGAGACCGAACCGGTCACAAACAAATCCTTCCTATACCCCCTTAATGCCTCTCTTATCTTCACAACTAACTCTTCTCACATTCCTTTATCACTCGCACCTCTGATGCAAACGGTTCGAGTTCCCACAACGTTATTCCTAGTTTCTTGAAATCCTGTTCTAAACTACATGTCGGAGCATTTAATGTACGGACATTGTGTCAGATAGGGCAACAGACTTCATTGGCTAGGACGTCAGAATCTCGCGCTATCGATATACGCTGCGTCTCAGAAACGTGCATATAGGATCCGAGTAGCGTCATTGACTTGAACTCACCGTGTCAAGCTAAAGAAGCGTTTCGACTTACTGTTCGTGTATCTAGAAGCCCTGATGCTGCTTCCCATAGTCTCGCTCGTGTAGGTATAGCATTGAGTCCTGAGACAGAACTAGCTCTCCTAGAATGGATTCCAGTAGTGTTAGGGGGACATAGATGAATTAAAGCATGACTACGTTGCTGCGCGCTGATCGGTTAATTTCCTATCCAATCAGCGCCTGATCGAATCTTGGAGAACAGGGTAGAAGATTCTCGTATAGTTAGCTGCGTGCTGATTGGTTAAATCTAATCCAGTCGATCACGTGAATTTCTATCCAGAAGCTTTTCATGTAAATGCTATAAATAGAGTAACGTTGTATCTATTTTTGACTTCGCCTTCACCATCACCTTTGGCTTCTTATTTCCATTCAACCTTGCTATTTGGAATATAATCTTTTCCTGTTCAACCGTGTTTTTGATTCAGTCAGTCAGATGCAACGTAGAACTTCGTACGTAAGTACATCAGTTCATGTCGCCATACCACATCAGCACAGAGATATAATTGTCAATTCAAATCCAATAGTCGAAGAGGTAGTAAAGGTAGTAGAAGTAATCGGAAAGGTTAGGATGAGAAGAAATTAAAGAAAGATGATTCAGTGAGAAAAGTTTAGAAAGTCAAAACTAGAGGTGTTGAAGAACCCAGAAGATCAGGATTTGAGAGAACACAAAGAACAAATGCACCGGCGCCATTGCGAACGATTTTGAGCCATGTCATTCAAGGTCTCTAACCACCGATAATTATCATCTCGCGGACCCCAACCAGGTAGTCGACAATTACCGACATGACTCAGTCCACTTGTCAATGACTTCATGGATTTCTGCTATGTTTTGGTTTGGCTGCCACTAACTTTCTTCCAACCTATTCTTAAACTACAAAACAAAGCTCGTCGAGGCAATCGGTGGTTGGGCATACTCAGCACATGTCCCAACCATGTCAACTGATGAAGTTTCACTACTTCATCTATTGATCTGCCACTCTTACCTAGCACCCGTTTCCTAATAACAGCGTTGCTCACTCGAGTGTCCCAGGATATACGACCAATGCTTCGAAGACACCTATGATCGAAAACCAATAAACGACGAGTATCTTCTACTCTCATTGGCCATGTTTCACAGCCATAAAGTAAGACGGAGCGAACTACTGCACAGTACACTCGTCCTTTAGTCAGCAAACGGATATCTCGCCTACGCCATAAGTGACGCAGGTTGGCAAAAGCCAATCGAGCCTTCTGTATCCATGCTGAGATTTAGTCAGTCACCAGGCCATCAGCACTGATGAGACTCCCGAGATAAGTGAAGCGGTCTACACGTTCGACCACTTCACTCCCTATCACTGCATTTTGTCAGAGTCTTCACCTAGTAGGACTATGTCATCGGCATATTCTAAGTCAATAAGCGAGCCACCTGGTAGAAGGTCTACTCCTGAAAATTCAGACGACGATAAGGTTATTTCTAGCAGCATGTCAATGATAAAATTAAACAAAAATGGAGAGAGTGGACATCCCTGACGGACACCACTTGAAGTGAAGAATTCCGGTGACAGTTCGTCATAAGCTCTCACTCGATCAGTGGTGTTCGAGTAGAGAGCTTGTATGAGGTTAATGTACTTATTTGGTACACCTTTCAATGACAGACACTGCCACAGAACCTCACGATCCACTGAGTCGAATGCAGCCTTAAGGTCCAGGAGAACAACTATTGTAGGACGCCTAAATGTGTGTCTGTGTTCCAGGACCTGTCGTAGTGTGAAAATGTGGTCTATACAACCACGTATAGGTCGAAAACCAGACTGGTTTTCTCGAGTTTGCTCTTCATGAGTTTTCGTTGGGCGCCGAAGTATTATTGAGGCCAAAATTTTAGATACCATATCTTTGGCTCGAGTAACTCTCTTTCTAGTTGTTCCTGAAATATTTTCTTAGTTTGATTATCATTAAGTAAAACCCTAAGAGGTTTCCTTACGGTGTCTTTCTTACGCCCAGTAAGCCTCAAACAAATACGTTCTCGCACTAGGGCATGATCTGAATCTAAACATGTGCCCCAGAACGAGCGACAGTCCTCTATCGAACCACTCCATCGGTGGCTGATGGCGATGTGATCTATTTGAGTCCAACGTTGAGACGACTTCGGGGGTCACCAGGTCAATAGATGCTTTTCCTTATGCCTAAATTTAGTGTTTGCTAGGAATAGGCGGTTATCTGAGCACAGTTGCAACAGACGGTCGCCATTGTCTGTTCTCTGAGCCGCGACACCATAACATCCACCTAGGTGTCTTTCATTTTCACTCAGTCTACCTACTTGAGCATTAAAGTCACCAGCCATTATTACCATATCAGAGCGCCTAGCTTTTTGGAGGAGGTCCGAAAGCCTTCTTTAAATCTCATCTTTAACCTCGTCTGCACTGCAGTCAGTGGGGGCATAGGCAGATATGACGAAGAGGCAACGGCGGGTGTCCCTATCCTTCCGAGTCCTTACTTTCCCGTTTAGTCGGACAGCGCACAAGCGACTATCTACTAGGATCCAGTCGAGGAGAGATTGTTCAGCTCTACGACTTAATGCTATGCCTACACCAGCAAGACCCCTGGAGGCAGCATCAGGGCTTCCAGATACGCGAAGAGTAAATCGAGCTGCTTCTTTATTTTGACAAGGCGAAATCAGATTAATAATTTTACTGGGATCCTGTATGCGCGTTTCCGAGACACAGCACACATCGATGGCACGAGATTCTAAAGTCCTAGCTAATGGTGCCTGTTGCCCTATTCAACACAAAGTCCGTACATTAAAAGTTCCAACATGTAGTCTGGAACGGGGTTTCAAGACACCAGGAACGACGTTTCGTGAACTCGCTTCGTCTGCATTAGCGATGCAGTGAGAAAAGTGACTGTGAGTAGAGATAAGAGAGATATTAGGGGTTGTAGGAAGGATTTGATTTTGACCAATTTGGTCTCGCGTGCTGTTACGGGTATGAGGGTGGTTGTCACTTCCCGGCTGCCCACACCGTGGAAGGTTGTTTCTTGAGGAGGTAGGCTGATAAAAAGTCTACGCAATGATCGAGAACAGTGGTGCGTAGCGAAAGCGAGAGAGATCGAAAAGGCAACGGTGATAGGCGACAGTAGGCAACCATTCAGACTCATCAAGGAAACTGGTATTAGGAATCCTAGTGTAAGTGAGACTATCTCGGAAAAGGATGGTCTTATTATCCATTCTCAATCCAGGAGACTGGATTGATGGGCAGAACACTTTAGGGATCAGTTCAAATGGCATTCTGCCACATTTCGGTTACCCACGATGTCCAGTCATCATGAATGAGAAACCGACATAAGTCCCCCTAGTCTTTAGGAACTTGAGAAAGTGTTAGGAAATGTGAAGCGAGGGCGAGCTGCAAGTCGTGATAGACTGACTCCTGAGATATTTAAGGATGGTGGTCCAGTTTTAGCAGCTAGGTTGACTGAGATCTTAGGTAGAATCTGGGAACTGGACGTAATCCGATCCGACTGGTCTCAATCACAGACTCATCAAGGAAACTGGTATTAGGAATCCTAGTGTAAGTGAGACTATCTCGGAAAAGGATGGTCTTATTATCCATTCTCAATCCATGAGACTGGACCCGTGGGAACTGGACGTAAAACCATATGACTGGTTTCGATCGCTGATTGTCCCAATTTACAAGAAAGAATAAAAGTCCTCTTGTGACAATCGCAGAGGAATCAGTTTGACTAATAGTTTCTAAATTGTTAACCACGATTACAATAAGATGCCTAACTAGAGGTCGCGAAGAGCAGACTAGAGAAAACCAGGCTGGCTTCAGACCTGGACTCGGAGTTATAGTGCATATAATTACACTTCTTCATGTCCTAGAACAGGAACACACATTCCGGCGTCCGACAATAGTTGTCTTCCTCGACCCTAAAGCGGCATTTGACTCTGTCGATCGTGACGTTCTGTGGCAGTGTCTGTCATTAAAAGGTGTTCCAAAGTAGTACATTAAACTTATACGAGCTCTCTACTCGAACACTACAGGTCGAGTGAGCTTATGGCGAACCATCACCGGAATTTATTACTTCAAGTGGTGTCCGTCAGGGTTGTCCACTCTCTCCATCCTTGTTTAACTTTGTCGTAGACATGCTTTTAGAGTTAACATTATCTTCGTGTGACTTTTCAGGGTTGGACGTCCTACCAGGAGATACGTTTGTTGACTTAGTATGTGCCAATGACACAGTTCAATTTGGTGAAGGTTTGCGTCACTTATGGCGTAGGCGAGATATCCGTTTGCTAACCAAAGGACGATTTCGCTACGTAACAGGTTTCTCCACCCTACTATACGGATACGAAACGTGGCTGGTAAGAGTAGAAGACATCCCTAGGTTATTAGTAATCGATTATAGATGTTTTCGAAGCATTGCTCATGTATCGTGGGACCAACGAGTAGGCAATGCTAGGGTCAGAAAAAGTGTACTGAGTAAAGATGGCAGATTGATCGATCAATTAGTGAAACTCCATTATTTGAGGTGGATAGGATATGTATTACGTTTGCACAACCACCGACTACCTCGGCGAGCTATGTTTTGTCATGTAGGAATAGGTTGGAAGAGAGCTAGGGGGGCCAAACCAAAACATATCAGAAATCTGTGAAGTCACTGACAAGTGGACTAAGTTATGTCGGTAGGTGTAGACTACCTGGTTGGGGTCCGCGAGGCAATGGTAACCGATTGTTGGAGACCTCAGACGACATGGCTCAAAAACGTTTGCAACGATGTAGATGTATTCATTCATTATCTTCTCACAACTTCTAATCTTCCGAATTCTCTATGAGGTTTTTTCTATTTTTAAATTTATTTCAATGGACAATACTTCTGGAATCATATTTTCGAGCTCTAGTCTTTTCCATTACCGCTAATACTGCTACTAACTCGACCATTATGGGATTTGAATTGACAGTTCCATCTCTCTGTGCTAATGTGGTGTACCTAAGCACCAAGTTCTATGTTGCAGCTGAGTGACTGACCTTGGCACTTACTCTAAATACTGCTTTTATATAAAAAGAAACCTAGCATGAATACAATATTTAAATCCTACTTGTACGAAAATGACCGGAAGACAAGAATACAAAAGATCGGTAAAAGCAGTTCTGTACAATAATTTTGAAACCTGGTCCCACCCAACCGAGTGCTGAGCAGAGGAGTCCTAATAAAGTGACAAGTGACAGTCCTATACAGGGTGTTTTCACAACACGGAAACGAGTCATAAGCTGGCAGGTCTCCGCACTTCCTCAATAATTCCGATCTTTGGATCCATTTATTGAATAGGGTTCTGAAAACTTGGTGTGGACCTAATACTCAGCAGATAAGGTTTGTATCAATAGGTGTGAACAATATTTCCTGTAACCCTTGCTTCCCCGCATTCTGTTTCGTTGAAGATGATAGGATAGCAACAGCAGTGAATGTATATGCTTCTAAGTAGAGTTGTGACATGTGATTTGAGATGAATGTCGCAGAACGCCGAGTTGCGGAGACAAGACAGTGTCTTTTTCAGCAAGTAATGTTTGTGTTCATAGTACTCATACATTTCCGAGTGCATGGGAGTAAGGTGAAGATTAGAAGTAGTTAGTCAACATTCGGGATACATGACAATTGATAATAGCTATTTCTTTGACACCTATGATCTAGTCAGTGACAGGTATGATTTATTGTATTTACACCAAATTATTTGCTTGTTCGCTAATTCTGAAGATGGAAAATACACGATTTTAACTTGCTTGCAGGCAACGCAGGTTTTAAAGACAAAAGACCAGTAGTTTGTACTAATAACGAATGTCAATGAAATCAATTCGATTCAGCAATCGCACTACAAATAATCGTATTTGAATGAGATTATTTGAAGTATGATTACGGAGCACTATTCTGAACTAGCAAACTGTGGACAAAGCAAAGCATTTGATATAATGCGGTATTAAGTTAATTTCGATTGAACGCAAACTAAAAAAGATACATACCTCAGATATTTGACTGATTCCACCAAGCATTTCAATAGCTGTGTCTACATTATTTACTACTGCTGGGAACTCAACACCATAGAATATTTGATCCGGAAATGTTAGGTCCATTCGAAACTATGATTGCTGAAATGAGCAGTAAGTATTTATATATGGATTAACTGTATACATTAATGTTAGATACTGTATTTGATACTAAAACGTATACTGAACTGTAGCTAAGTTAAGTAGTTCCAAATATAAAGTATAGTTCACAAGATCAGGATCAACCATTCAAATTATCAGTTGGAATACCAGGGAATAGAAATAAACCAGTCCTTTAAGAAGATCAATGAAGTGAAAACGGGAAACATGCCAGAGGTGACCTTGAACTGACAGATCTCCCTCCAATTCATCTTGCACTTTGAACTGACATCTTGATTGTATCGAAATCAACTATTCCACTATCTCTTACACCAGCTAGTTTAATTTCTTGTTCTCGCTCCCTTATATTTAGCGAAAAATTCGGATTTTCAGTAATGTTCAACGGATAGTAATCCAGCCACTAGATTCATGTTACCGAAACTAAATAATCAATGTGTTCTATGCCATTGTTAAGTCACCTCTAATTCTCCCTTAACTTTATGAAAACAATTCCAAGTAGTAATTTTTGGCTCTGTGGAAGTTATTCTTCAACCCTACCACTTACTGAATTGTCCGTTTCTGAATTCAATTTGCATCTCTTTTAAAAAGCAGGGTTGCAACAACATCGTCGGGTTCAAACTGTGATGATGCTTGTTTTATCGAGAGTTGAAAACTATTCTTGAATGACCATACCAAGTTTTCTCCTAATAAATCGGAGAGTTGCATTTGCCTTGGCTGTTTCCCTAATGTTGTTTGAGCTGTTGTCCAAACTCTCTTGTTATTAGATCGAAATCACGCTTCGGGGAGGCATTCGTAAGTGGACTTCTGTTGAGGTAGTAAGTTTTTTGTTTTACTTGAGGCTGGATATTGATGACACCAGATTATGACCAGTAAAGTTTTAGCCTGTCCATCGGCCATTCCTCTAGTGTGGTAAGGTCTTATTGGAGCTAAGATAAATCTTTTGAGGCACTTATGGGCCCTCTGATATTTGCATTGTCTTTATAAACTAGTGCCGCTGATCTGATTTTATCTAATAAGTCATCAGTAAATATCAAGAACAGAAGTGGACCTCACATGGTCCTCTATCAAACTTCCTGTGTTGATGCTCACCACCTCTTATCCGCTCTATTAACCTTAGTGCATACATCCTGTTTTGTAAGTATTTTCCAAGCCGAGATAGAAGTGAATCAGTATATCACATCTTCTCAACCTTAGCTATAAGTAGTACATGGATTACTGAGTCAAAAGGTTTTTGCGAAATGAACACAAACTATATCGGCCGGTATTTTCTGGCTCAACCAAGTTGTCCTGCTGTCCCATAGTATGAGAAGTTTGGATGTACATGACCTCGCGCTTCGGAAAGAACGTTGTTTTCACCAATGGACTCCCTCACTAACTGATCGAAAGCAATGCGTCTAAAGTGTAGTAGACTGAGTCTTTTTCATCCACTCCTTTAAAGGTTGGAGAGGGACTAGTTTTTGCTATTCTCTTGGACGTTTGCGTAACTGCAGCACGTGCCCGACGACATGCCGAAGAATTGACAGCTTCCACGCAATGTTTTAGGATTGAAGTTTCCTCAGTACGAACCAGGAACTCGGTAGATATCCCGAAGTCCGTTAGCCGGCGCTGGAGTAACTTATTTATTTCTAAGCAGAATAATGTGGAAATGCAAGTACTATCGGAGCGCATTATCTCGAAGCATATGAAGTTGAAGACCTAAACTTCTGAGATTGAACAGAGTTAAATATGCCTAAAATGCGACCAGAGTAGTCATTGAAGTATCCAGTATATGGCACTATAATGGTCCTGCATACAATTGCACTGCAGCTCTTTTTCTCTCCTGTGTTTCTTTTAGAAACCATATCAGCGGTAGACAATCATGGAGCTCCTGCTTATACTCATGGTGCACCCCATGTACTCGCTTGTTAAGCTCATAGTTCATGCCAAGCGCCTTCCAATGGACGATTTCTAAAAAATACGAACTCACTAGCTCGTTTCATCACACAGATACTTACAAATAACTGAGATTGCTTTTGCAACAATTTGGTGTTGCCTGTAAGTTGGTATGTCTCTTGTAACACACTGTTGTTGGAGAACAAACATTACTCTCGTTGAGTTGTAATGTTCTCGTGCTTGTCTTAATATTACATGGGTGATTTCTGTTTATTTTTTCTATCAAATGGTGGTTCAGTAATCAGCTTAGAACCTTGTTTATCTTAGTGGGGGGCAAGCAACACCATCAGTTGTGCAAATCACAAGCGTAGACAGTCCATTGAAACTCACGCGAACTGAGAGGATCAGTGTCGAATTTACCCCAACATTAGCAATAAGTCCACAAGATTATCATGAATAAAGATTAAGACTAATGATTCTGATGGTTATAAGTCATGATATTCCTTATTATTATATTGATAGCTATTACTGTTTAGCATCTTGCCAAAACCATAGTACAAAACCATGTTACCACTCGATAAATCGACTTCTAGCTCGTGCCTAACTTGACTATTGCAACAAGCTTGTGCATGCCATTAACCTTTTAGTACAAATATAATAACTTTGTTTACTGCATATCAGAAAATTAAAAATAATCACATAATAACCGCCAGTTTTTCGAGCGAACCTCATTAAACTAATAATAATAATCAACCATATTCTGAATGACCAAAAGCTAGAGGACCCTACTACTTTGCAGGCAAAATCAGATTGCTACAGGTGTTGCGATATATTCTCCAGTAAACTGAGTTTCCTGGTTTAATTGACGTGTAATATAAAAATTGTTGCTGGAAAAGCAGGATGGCAAGATTACTGATGTGTAAAAACACGGTTATTGCGTGGAAACCGATATGTGCAATGAAAAAAGGGTACGTCATGTAGTTACTAAGTCACGAAGATGAACCATTTATGGCGTATACTGTTGGTGTCATAGGCTCAGTGTACAGTTAAGAAGAATAAACATTTGCAAATATGTGTGTTATTTCTGATTAGTTGTCTTCAGGTAGAGGAAATTTCCGTCAGAAATAAAAAGTAAGGAGTGAGTCGGTCATATACTTTTCAGTGCAGCATTACGACAATGTTTTAAAATTTGACAGATTAAACCTTCTGAACATGTTCCACTTTCGTGATAAGACTAGTGGTGTATTGTAACCTAGTTTCTTTCATTTAAAATATGTGGCCGTCTACAACAATAAAAATGTTGGAAACAATAAGTGGCAAAAAGTACAGTGATGTCATGTAAAGAAAATTAATTTTTGTCATATTCTTTCTATTGGTTCGTCTACGTAACATTTATTACGCTGTCTTCCCCATACTAATAAACAAACAATCTTAGTCATATATTGTTCTGAGTTAGACAGTTGGTAGAGTGAATTATAAATCATATTTTAAAATTAGTTCTTTAGTGGGTGACTGGTTTCTGTATATCAGTGTATATCTTTATAGGGGCAGGGAATGGAATACATTGCAAAACCAACGTCCTATGTTCAAACATGTATTAACATTTTAAAAATGTTATGCCTGTTTCATGTCTTGATTTTAATGCTCTTTACACAATTCACACTTCACTAGTACCGCATACAGAAATTGATAGCTTGTTTGGTATTGTCCTTAGTATAATATCTACCAATCCTATTACAATGATAGTAACGTGTTCGTCAATCATATATCGTTAACCACTTTTACGATATGAATGGTGCATAGTCATTTATACTTAGTTCTACATCTAATTTAGAATCCTCAAGGCCAAAGAAAAGGAGGAAGATCAAAAATCTCATAACGCCAAGAAATAAAGACAGAGACGAGAAGCATGAACAAAAACTGGACAGAACTGGAAAGGATCATCCAGAACAGAGTACGTTAGAGAATGCTGGTCATCCGCCTATGATCCATTGCTGGTAAGTCAGTGGGTGAGTTAAAGTCTACATCTGGTACTGAAAGGGAGTACCACGTATTTTCTTTCTAAATTGATACGGTCGATTTAGACTTCGTCAGTTTTATTATGCAAAAGGCCCGTACTAATGACCTAAGCTGTAAACTTATCATAGTTCCTCAAACAATAGTCCACCGTTCTATCTGCATCTTACCGGCGATGTGTGTACACGGCACGTAGTTCAGGTGGCGATCCATCCAGAATAACAAATCTGCTAGGTGGCGAGACTAGATTGTCGTACACGTAATCGTTGTAATAGGTTTCGTAGCTTCCTTATTTCATTTGTATCTGGTAGTGTGGTGTTATCTGATTCTGTTACTTGGAGAGCAGAATTTTCTTCAGCTATGAAGTGGTGCAGGCAGCATTCAGCGTACTCCGTATGGTTGTGAAAATATTCGTCTCTTAGTCTTGGAACAATAAGCGGAACCCCTCTGTTCAATCTGCAATCTGTTCAACCTTTCACTGGAATTACACTAGCTCCCACTTAAATTGAAACAAGCTACTCTCTTGTGATGTTCATTTTTTCTCTGAGCTGATTGTTTTGGTTGTGGAACTTTCGTTGTTCTTCTGGACAAAATCGTCACCATAAACTTCAGATAGAAGTGAAGTATTTGAATTTCTCCTCGTTTGACCCATAGTATGTTATGTTAACTTCGATCTTGATTGGTTGCTGCTGAAATTAAACCTGTCATAGTTTGCACAAAAACAAATGTGCAAATACTTAACTTCTATCTGAAGCTACTCTCTCTCTCCAGTCTTCAAAGGAGGAGATAAAGAAGACCCAGCCTATTTTAAACCAGTCGCATTATTACCAATATTATCGAAGGTAACGGAAAGGCTAGTGAACGGAAAGATGAGGGAGTAAACGGATACGAACGAAATACTCCTTCCCGGACCGAAAAACACTGGTGCACATAACATATCTAGACATTGAAAAAGACTTCAACACAGTAGCCCATGCACGTCTAATTGTGAAAGTTGCGGAAAACGGCTTCACTAACACACTCCTATCTTGGCTTAGAAATTACCTTGAGAACAAAAGCTTCGTACCAAGGGAAATAGAGTGCAAGCGAGTTGGCGAGTCCCAACATCGGGAGTCTCACACGGGATCATCTTAAATCCACTCCTCTTCCTTACGATCTGTTAGACAACGTGACCTCAGTGGCATCGATCTATGTCGACGATGCAAAGATCTGGAGGCCCATTAGGATCGAAAAGGATTCGACTGAGCTTTAAAAGCACCCTTCATCCATTGAGGAATGGGCAGTGAAAACCAGTCTAAAACTAAACCAACCAAAACGTCATATCATAAACATTCTACCGAACGTGACAAACGACTCATACTCTG